TCCACGGACGCGCCCTACCGAGCCTCTAAAAGTGCACGTCCGCACTTGTCCGACCCTAAACCATTACCATCACCGTATGAAAAACCCATGAAGTCCTTTCCTCAAAACCTCAAAGTCATGAAAATCTTTTCCTTTAAAATCATTCCGATTGTTATCCGATAACCATAATATAAAATATATTTTTATGACTTAAAACATTATTCATGAGCTAAGCATACGTATGCAATTTGCAATGAACCAACAAGTTGTATGAATTCATGAATGCTTACTTAGAATGGTCATGTAACCAAGTCATAAGAATCAATATAAAATTAAGCGAGCATAACAAGCATAGATAACATCAATCTAATATAAATCAACACGACCATTATTGGCATATCAATCATCATAACCCAATTCTCATCATTAATCACATTCAAGCATAACCATTATTCATAACCTAATGCATTCATGTAGAATTTGAAAGAACATAACCATAACATAAAGAAAGATGAACATTTTTGTTCCATTTCTTTGTTCATTAAACTTACCTTTCACTTTACTTTCCTAAATTCTTTTCTTTGGGTTCTTAATTATTTTTTCATATTTGATCTTTACCAAATTAAGTATCATTTCATGATCCAACCTAACTAGGTATTATTTCATTAATTTATGAGGTTCAATTTCGGTTTGAGCCTTAATGGGCCTAAGGCCCAATTGTTCTTTAAATTTTTATGAGACCTTTTCATTGTAAACCATCCTTTTACTATGTTTTGAGTCTGAATTATCAATTTTAAGGTTTAAAACTAATTCTCCAAAATTCCTATTTAGGCCTAAACTTGACCTCTTTAGAATCCTAACATTTTCTCCTCATTTTGCTCCACCATTTTAACACTAAGTAGCCTAGATATGTAAAAAACATAAAAATTGATTTAATTGAAATTTGAGACCCGAAATCTGGTCCAAACCCGTATTGGGCCCAAGCCCATAAAACCCATTTTCTTCAATTTTTGATGAATTTTTCACTTCAACTCATCAAAATATACTTATTTAAGTGTATATGACTCACCAAACTATAATAGGATTGCTTGGAATTCCAATCTTAAATATCTTTAGTTTAGGCCGAATATAATTTCTACCCATTAGTGGATTTTTCTTCAATTAAAGTAAAATTTTTCATTTTTAAACATTAATTCATGCTCAAATAAGTCATAATCAAGTGTCAAAATACTAATTAAATGAAAGAATTCGAAACCCCCAAATTTGGTTCATCCAAAACCCTAACCCTAACCCTAATTTTTCTTAATTGAACAATTAAATCCAATCAAGTAATTAAACATAAAATTGACTTGAAATTAAGCATGCTTGTGGTGTAGGTGAGGTTAACTTACTTGTTTGAGCTTCGATTAGACTCTAAAAAGATATATTGGTGAAGGATTTCTCTTCCTCCTCTTTTCTTCTAAATTTTTTAATTTGATCTTTGAATTTTTTCCTTGAGATTTTTGGCTTCCCAGTTAAAATTCAAGCTTCTTCCACTTATTAGATTTGGATATAATTTATTAAAAATATTTTGGGTGATTTTTAAGTGAAAATTTTATAAGAGTTTCTTTTTTTGTTTTTCAATTTTTCTTCCCCTTTTTTTTTCAGCACCCTTATTCATATGAACTTTTTTGGACTTATTGATCTCATCTCCTCCCTTAATTTGGGAAAATCTCAACCCTTAATTCAATTTCCAATCATTCATTTGCATTTGTCTCAATTTTTAGCCATTTATTCACCTTTTTATTTAACCCTTCCATCTTGCGTATTTTTTACCATAATTTTTACTAGAAGTCAGACTTAATTAATTTCTAGGTTGACCAAATTTGGGAGGAAAATGAAAAATTTTGGTCCTCCCGAGTTTCTAGACTTTTCCATAGCCCATTCTTTCCTAAGTCCCTCTTTTATGCAAAAACTCACTTATAATCCTCTTTTTGAGTGTTTAAGACTAATTTTTAACCATTAAAATTCTCACATAATTTAATTTGGATTATTAGACTTTTAATTTTATGCAATTTTGTCCCTACTCTTAAAATTCCATTCTATACTTTTCAAAAATCAAATTTCTTTCTAGAATAAATTTAAAAATTCATTAAGGGAGTTTGATTTAAATATTCATAATTTTTTTCCCTAATGTGAGCCTTCAACTTATTTATTTAGTGTGAAAATTCTATTTCTTATAGAAAATATTCCTTGCACTTAATAAAATTAATCTAAATTTATTAAGTATTCCTACACATTCCCTAGGATTTTCCTATGCCCTTTAAAAAAATTTCTCATACTTCTAAGTCACCTAATTTAATTCTTTATCTCTAAAAACACTATTCCTACACTTAGAAAATTCAATGAAATATTCACCCTATGTAGAAAAGTTCATAAAATCATATAAAATAATCTAACACCCTTCTAAAAATTATTCTAAAAAAGCAAGATATTTTTCATACACAAACAACATGCTTTAATTAATTTTCTCATGCAATAACTACTATTCATATACCGAAAAATCACTAAAATATTCTTTAAGCATGGAAAAACTATTTTGACCCTTCTAAATATTCTTTTAAATTTCTAGTAATTATTTCTCATTCTCAAATATATATATATATATATATATCACACGGTTTTAATATTAAACTTTTATTACATTTCTATTTTAGCGGGTATCGGACATTACAAAATGACCTCTTAAATAGTATGTAAATTTATTTTTTGGTTAACGGTATTTGCTACTCGATATGTAATTTTTTTACACTTTTCGTCTATACTATGTTATTAATTTTTGAGCATGTACATACAAAAGTTAAGTCAAAATTAGATTATGTCGGCATAACGCACCTCGCTTGGCCACCCCTATTTGGGTAATAGAGAGTGGATCGGGGCGGGGCGCCGGAAAAGAGCTATGTCGAAGAGATTAATGCATTATTGTCCAATAACACTTGGGAATTGGTTCCTAAACCATTAAATGCTAATGTCGTTTCAAATAAGTGGGTGTACGGGATTAAATCAAAGCGAGGACGGTTCCATTGATCGGTATAAGGCACGTCTTGTGACAAAGGGCTTTACACGAGCAGGAGGGTATTGACTACAAGGAGACGTCTAGTCCGGTAGTAAAAGCTACAACAATCGAACGGTGCTTGCACTTGCCAATATGCATGAATGGTCGATCTAGCAACTTGACATATCCAATGCATTTCTTTATGGGCATTTGAAGGAGACAATCTATATGACTCAACCTACCTGGTTTATAGATGAAAAAAGGCCCGATTTCATGTGTAAACTGAACCGCTCACTCTATGGGTTAAAGCAAGCTCCACGAGCTTGGTTTTCAAGGCTTGTGAAATTCCTTCATCATCACAGGTTCCTATCATCAAAAGTCGACTCTTCTCTTTTCATATACAATACCAATAATACTATCATCTATAGCTTAGTTTATGTAGATGATATTATTATCACCGACTCCTCTAAGGTGTTAATTTCTAATGTAATTTCGGCTTTGAAATAGGAATTTCCAATGAAGGACCTTGGTGCTTTACACTACTTCCTTGGCATCGAAGTCATCCGGACTTCACAACATCTTTGTCTGTCGCAAGCAAAATATAATAAGGATGTCTTGGATAGAGCCGGCATGCAAGACTCCAACACTTGCCTTACACCAATGGCCACGTCCCCTATTCTATCTAAGCACATGGGTACACAACTCCCTGATGATATGGAATACAGAAAACTAGTGGGAGCATTGCAATATATCACAATTACAAGACCTAATATAGCCTTTGCTGTTAACAAGCTATGTCAATTCATGCATTCGCCAAGTGACGTGCATTGGAAGGCTTTAAAATGTCTCCTTCGATATCTTAAAGGTACCCATGACTTGGGCTTATCTTTTCCATCAAATTAGTCACTTGATATAACTTGCTATGCGGATAGTGATTGGGGTGGTGATCCGGATGATAGACGCTCTACTAGTGGTTATGGCATTTTCTTGGGTCCTTGTTTGATATCATGGCTTGCCAAGAAACAACCAACCATTGCTCGCTCATCGACCGAGAGTGAATATAAAGCAATCGCCAATGCAACTTCAGAGTTCTTGTGGATTAAATCCTTGCTGACCGAACTTGGGTTTCCCATTTCTTCTAGTACCTTGTGGTGTGACAATATTGGTGTTATCTACCTCTTATCAAATCCCGTGTTTCATGCAAGAACCAAGCACATAGAATTAGATTATCACTTTGTGCGGGAGCAAGTCGCTAATAGGACTCTGAAAATCAAGTTTGTTTCAACTACGGACCAACTCGCTGATCTCTTCACCAAGCCCTTGTCGTTGTCCATATTTTAGCTACTCCGTAGCAAAATGCTGCTCCATCTGCCCAAGGGCTTGCCGGGGGTGTTAGCTAGACTCCTATCACGAACAGCTGCTAAACTTCTTATCACATACAGCTGTTGTTATCCTTATCACGTACAGCTGCTGTTATCTTATCCCCTGTCTATTTGTTACTTGTTACGTTGTACATTCTTAGTCAAACTACAAGTCATGTACAGTATATATATTTACATGATACAATGAAATCAAGGACAAAGGAAAAACCTTTAAAATCAAAACCACTACACTCTAAACTCCAGCTTTACTGGTCATGAAAGACTATGAGCATAGCTGTGATTACGTGGGTTGGAATTATCAATATGGCTTTGATGCTTTTCGTGTGGAATGTGACACCATGCATTTTTACACAATCGTTAGTGGTAATGAGATTTGTTGCATCATCTTTCAATTTTCTCCTCGGGAAAACTGTCCAAGGTCTTCTCTTGAACACTTTTTGAATCACGATTATGTAGATTTTGTTTGTTTCCAAATACTTCACAAAGTCCAATATCTCTGTCGGGCCTACAATCTTGTTGTGAAAAACTGGTTTGATATCCCCCGTTAGGCTAGTCTGTCAAATCCAGAGAGGTTTCCTAACCCTTCCAATTTGTCTCTACAAAGAATGGTATGCATGGATTTCTCGAAGCGGTATGCAAAGCCTACTGACCTTCTTCAGAGCAGCTGGAGGTTGACTAAACTTTCTCCTGGTGAAGTAATGTACGCGACTTTATATTGCTGTTTTCCCTACAAGTTGGCAGTTCGGCTCTCAACTCCTCAAAAGACCGTATCAGAGGTATTGATCCTTTAATTAATATGTATCAGATTGTTTAATCGTAATTCAAAATTATGCATGATCAAATGTTTAAAGATTAATTCTTGTGTGGAATCGTAAGTTTTTTTTTCTCTGCATCTGCAGGTGCAGGGGCTCTGAATTATCTAGGACAGTTGATTCTGCTGGTTGGTATTTGATGTTTGTGGGAAATGTAGTTCTTTGTGCTGATGCTTAACCGATTCCACTGTTAGTGTTTTGTTATGGCTTTAATGGCTGATCATTAGGTTTGTATTGGTCTTTAAGACTTTCGTGGCTAGTTATGGCTCCTCTACTTCTGTTTAGTAGCGGTTTTAGGGTTTCCTTTGTATGCCTCTTTCTTTGGTGTTTTGGTTTACCTTGTGTCTTTTGAAGCGGATGTAAATGGATCCTGTCTTGATTTTGAAGAGTGTCGGAGAAAGGATTGGAGTGAGGACGAGTGATGTGTGTGGGAGAAAGGAGTCGTTGTGGAGATTTGTGGTGGCGGAGGAGAAATGAGATGTGGTTTCGTGGCGGCGGCTGCTTCAAAAGATTTAAAATTAATGAAGTGTTAATAATGAAAATAAGAAATTTGTGCAGTGAAGCACTAATCAGTCTTGTTCTTTATTATTATTATTTTGAAAAAATCTATGTGAAAAGCTTGCCCTCTTTGGTACGATTGCAATACCTCTGTTGTTTTTGCATCTGTTTTCTTGATGCTCAAGCAAGCTGACAACTTTTTATCTCTTTGGCTTGTTTTATTCATGCATGTTCAAATTCCACAGCTACATGCATGTTCATGAGTTTGTTTTTGTACAGATTTGTGTTACTTTGTCTCTTTGTTACAACTACCTTCTTCGCTTATTGTATCAGCATTTCAGTTAAGAAATCAAATTTATCTAGCTAGTACTCTACTAGACTGTACTTCCCCTCGTTTTAGGGTTTTATATAGTCATTCAGCCCTCTCTCTTCTCCTTATAAGCCTTTCATTATTGATCTCCCTAGTCCTTTTTCTCCGTGTATTGTCTTACTGCAGATAAGAAATTCAAAATCTTGCATGATATATGATGTCTTTAAAGTGAAATTTTACGACATGTTCCAATTCGAAAGCGTTGGTCACCAGCTCTCCTTCCATCCTTGAGAGATGGATAAACGATTTGCTTGATTCTAACCTCCCCAGTTCCAAAAATAGGCTTCGTTTAGGTCTTGAAATAAAATGGCCATACCTTAGATCCTTACATTTAGGAGTGTTTATTTGGTTTTTTTTTTGTTTGATTTTATAATATTTCGATTTGACTTTTGGTTAACTAAATCTATAAAATTAAAAATTAAAAACAAACCAAATAGTAATTCGAATTTTCAGTTAAAAAAATAAAATTTTGGTTTTTGATTTTGGTTTTGGTTTTTTCAGTTTAAACTATTTTAATTTTTAAAAATAGTATTAATAGATCAAAAATATATATATATATATATATATTATTTTAAAATTTAAAAAAAAAACATTTTTTTTAAATTTGATTTTCTGCTTAAACTGAACCTAAAATTTAAAAAATAAACCGAAATGAAAAGGCGAAATTGATATTTCAATTGGATTAAATTTTTTGGTTCAAACTGAAAAGTAAACGCATCTCTACTTACGGTGTCTCCCATCCTGGTGTACAGTATGCATTCCAGGTATCAATCCTTTTCCTGAAATGCGCATTCCAGCTACCACACAATTCCAAGCTTATACTTGCATTATCTTTCAATCATCAACCTCCTTCCCCACTAGTTTTCCAAAATTTCTTCAAAAGTTTCTAGCTCACCCTTTTGTGGATTTTTTGAATTGGACTTACACATGAAGGATTCATGTGCGATCTGCATTCGATATTAAACATTTTGCATCAATCAAATATCCACTCAGCTTCGTTTCAACAGGAGCATGCACCTTATAAGGATTTGGTATTAAAGTTGTTAACTAGAAATTATGAAGAAGCAGATCACGTTATCAAAAGCAAGCAACCGGAGGAACGCTGCATGCGCTTGATTGTTACCTGCCATATAGGCTGGCAATTGAGGAGCTTAATTATTTTTCTACTAGCGCTTAATTATTTAGGGCATCACGTTATTGAAAGTGTTCGATTCTTACTCTGCATTGAAATTTTATTTTTAATATTTATTCTGAATTGCTTCGCAATCCAAACAAAAAAATATCATAACTTCTTGGTGCTTCTATATATATATATATATATATAGGAATCATATAGAAATTTTGATGAAGCACAAATGTCAATATATCTCAATTATAACGTCTTGCATTGTAAATTCTAGGCTGATACAAGACGAGCAGAAGGCTCCAAGCTTTTCAGTAAGAATCAGAGAGGCAACAAAAAAAACACAAATCTGTAGAACAATTGAGCATACAACAGAAGTAGGCTAGGTTAGATTAAAAAGACCAAAACCCATTTACATCATCTTCAAAAGACACAAGGTAAACCCAAATGCCCAAAACCACTAAAACAGCTACTAAGCAGAATTCGAGGGGCCATAATTAGCCATGAAAGTCAAGACCAAAACCAAACTAAACTACAGACCAACAGCAGATCAAATCCCCTGGAGCAGAAAACATGCAAAACTACACACTAATAGGAGCTGGAGCAGAAAACATCATAACTGTTACAAGAACTATAATCTTTAAACTGTTGTGTGACAGAAAATACGGAAGAAGTTTTCAAGCGTGGCGTATCCGATTAGTTCAAGAGCGAGGGACTCCGATTTTTTCAAGTGTGAGGCACTAGGTGTTCCAATTGGATTAATTCACACACTGCGGTTTCATAAGCAGCTCTCCAAGTGCAGTGTTCAAAGTGCAATGTTCAAGGTTTTTCCAAACCTATCCATATACTTCATGGAAGCCAAATGACCCACATCCGAGACATGCATATCAACACGATAAGCCCTTTTCAGTGAGTAAGTCTTAGTGGCTATCTCTATTCCAACGAAATCTACAAGTGGAAAATTACAAGTGGCCGGTTTCCAAAAAGCTTCGCAAGCAAGGGTGAAAATTAGGGAAAGAAATTAGGAAATAGTAAATTATACATCCCTGATCATAACACAAACATACGAAAGAAAGAATGGAGACTTTATCTTCGGTCCGCTGCGGATTAGGTTACTTATCCAGTGAGAGAGTGCCTCTTTATTGCCAGTCACAATCATGTCACAATGCAATAAGTTGAAACTAACCCTTTTTTTTTTTTTTTTTTAAGTGGATAAAAAGGAGGTCAAGCAGTGAGTGGAGCAAGATAGAAAACAAAGAGGGAGGTCAAGCAGTGAGTGAAACAAGATTGGCAAGACTCTATAAAGTACTAGGGGTTGGAGGTAGAAAAGATTCGGAGGTCAAGCAGTGAGTGGAGCAAGATTAGCAAGACTCTATAAAGAACTAACATCAAAATCTTGCAAGAAGGTATTCTCAAGAAGAGAATTAGGGTCAAGGAGGTAGAAAAGACTCGGTTGGGAAAAGATTCGGTTTGGAAAATTTTACGTCAAGTCTAGCAAGAAAGTATTATCAAAGAAGAGAGAAGTTAAGAGAAATGAAAACGAGAAAGAAGAGAAAAGGATCAATTCAAGAAAACAGCAGGTGTGATTTTATGTGAGATAGGCTGGTTTAAAAAAAAATAAATAAATAAAGAATAACAACTGCAACCGCGATTAAAAAAAAAAAAAACCAGTCACATTGTTTTTATATATAAAAAAATCCAACTCAATCCGACAAACGCAATAACAAGTTAAGTCTAAGGAGTTGGTGAAAATTCGGAATGGTAGAATCCATAAGAATCAATAAGTTATGCAGGTAGGCAATCCTCCCATTGGCCATATACTGAACTGAAAGTTCCTCCAAATGGTTTCACAAACTCTAAAAGCATAGCTCGACAACAAGCATTCCAAGTCTTTGCTAGCTGCAAAAGAGAAATGGGTTCTGAAAGTTTCCGAAGGGCTGCGCTGAATTTCAATTTTGTCTTCTCCGACAAATCTTCTGGCTCTTTGCTGTTATGAGATTGTCCAATATAAAGAAACAGAAGACACTTTGAATGAGATTCTAGACAGCTTGAACAAATTGATCAAGTGCTAAAAGTTGAAAGCAGTAATTCAAACACAATAAGTTTTCTAGTTTCTCACCTCAAACCAACAGGTAACTTATCTAAGATGACTGGAGAAGTATTTGGATATTCAGGAGTAACAAGCACGCGCAAGGTAAGCACAGGGAACTGTGAGTAGCAATGAAAAGGGTCAGTGTATTAATGAATAATCAACAGTATTTGCTCCAAATCAGTTAGTTTACGAATCTGCCCACCGGAGATGAAGACATTGATTTAAAATCTCCACTGAGCGACACAGGAGTATAGGTACATTTGATAATGGTTCCTTCCCTATCTTCAGCTGATAAAGAATCATCTTTAGTTGAATCAATTTCTACTAAAGTTTCAATCAACCGCTTGTTTGCACGCCTGATTTCGTCCAACAGATCTTTGCTGGGCTGCATTAAGCAGTGCAAGTTAGAAGCATAAGATGAAGAAGCGAGCATAAGCATTGCTGATACATGGACGTTAAAAGAAATAAATCCTCACAATGAATATAATTATCATAATATATATATATATATATATTGTACTTGCATAAAAATCAGTGCAATTCGGAAGAATTGTTAGTTTTAGATTCAGTTCCTCATTAAGCCAAAGCAATTTGAGAGTTCTATCTCACGAAGTTGTTCCATTTAAGGATTAACAGGAACTAGATGTAGCTAGTAAACAGTGTTTCATGTACTTATGACCATTACTAGAATTAAGGATCTTTATCGACCTTACAATAATCTCGGTAAAAGGAGAAGTGTTAAATGAACTACACCAGATTATAAAACACCGGACATAACCTAGCAGAGACAGGACATATTGGATAGTACTTTCAATGAAGAACACTGAATACAAGAGTGAAAGTTGGTAGGACTCGATGCATACCTTGACCCTCGGCTTGTTGAACCTAGATGTTGTAGTTGAATCAGAATCAGATGTCCAATTCATTGGCTGCCCGACTGTGTCCCAGGTCATCGAACTAAACTGCTTCTCCATCTCTTTCTCATAAATGCCTAACTTTTGTGAGCCTAAATTCCATTCTTGGACATGGAATCCTGCCTCCGACACCAAATCCTCACCAATAGCTGCCTTAGAGTGTCCTTCAGCTACCCCACCAGCAATTTTATCGACCACATTGACAACTGAGTCGATATCATGGACGGCAGCATTTAATACCTCTGGTGATAGTGATTGTACCTGGGAAAACATTAGCAATCCACATAACCATGTAAACGTTATTTCCCAAGGAAAAATATTAGTTCTATAGGGATGGCGTTCCGTGAAATTACAGCAATTAGCAATCTATATATTTGGAACTTTAAAATGAATCAGAACATAGTCTAATCATATCAGAAGGAACACTAGTAGACATTTAGTTGCCGAAAAGCTAACATAGAAAATAGACTCACAGCTAGAAGGAAGCGCTGGAATGGGTTTGTACGAGATGTGTTGAGGGGGCTAGTAAACTCTTCGACTATAGGGGAGGCTGATATCCCAGGTGTTCCGCTTGCAGTGGATTGATTTTGACTTTGTGTCTGGTTATCAACTTGGTTTAATGAGACATATGTTGAAGTTGGAGTCAAGGGAGCAGAAGCTGGAGAAGCTAAAGGCAAAGTTTGCTGATCAATATGAGCAGACGAGAGCTGAGACTTTCGAGATGAACTGGAGTGTGACTGATGTATAGTTGTTGGCAGTGTTTGATGCAGATTTTCTGGAGATTCAGTAGCTGGAGTGACATATGTTTGGCTGTTACGCATCAGCATCTGGTCCTTTTTGTTCTGAATAGTTTGTTTCTGCATTTGCTGCTCGAGGTTCTGTGACAGCCTTGAGTGATGAGTCAAGGGAGAATCAAAAGCATTCATGATGTTATAGCCAGATAAATTAGCATTCTGTAGTGCACCAGCAAAATTTTGGCCTGTTTTCCTTGCAGACTGCTGTAACATACTCGGCCCATTCCTTTGTTCCAAACCCATTCCAGAACTATACTGAAGTGAGCTGAAGAAACTGGGTCGTGAAGTTGGAACCCTTGACTGCATTGAAGATATTGTGGAAGACGAACTGCCCAAACCATTTGTCATAGTTAAATTCACTGGAGGGAATTGGACTTTCCCATTCCAGCTTTGAGGAGGCTGAGATATTTGGGATTGACCGCTAGGCGGCAGACTAAGTTCTGTTTGTTGCTCAACTGAGGGAGTGCTCTTCTTCCGAAATAAGTTCACAAACTTCATAAGAGCATCCTGAGCACTCTCCAACTTCTCCTTGCAATTATTTACCATCTGATTCCGCTGTAATGAAAGAATCGGCATAAGTCTTTCTAGCCAAATCACATTCTTCTGGTACTTTTCAAATTGCTGTGCATCTGTTGCCTGCAGAAATGATCAACAGAGATAATAATTAGCAGAAAGTGCTGCTGGCAAAACCTAATAGATTTAAAGCTCAAACGTAAGTCAATCTATGGCATCTGAGAACATATGAGCTTCAGGCAACCAGAAATCAAATTGCTCACATACCTTGTCAAGTAAGGACTTCAAACTTTTGTGTAGGCTCTCAATTTGAGGACCATATTGTTGCTTAAATTCTTGAAGCTGAAAAGGAAATGAAGATATCCTAGTCAATGGCAAGAATCTCTGACTTCATTATCAACATAGGAATATATAAGATTTGAGTGTCTGAGATAGCTTTCTCCCATAGAGGGAGGGGGTGATGCTGTCACCACATGACCAATCCATGGTATACTGATGAAAATACCATCATTTTTTTTCCCATATGAAATGGTAATACTTTGTAGATTGAAACGACAGATATTCCTTTGTGGAAAAATATAATCAAAACTTCAAGAAATACTCAGTTTAATCAATAAAATTTACCTTTTTATAGACCTCATCATGCCCATCAGATGTGTTGGCAAGTTGACTCGATGATTTGGGCTCTACTGATGCTACAAAAGACAGATAACATTTGATATATATTGTTAGCCCCTAAAAAAGGAAAAAACAAAACAAAAGATATAACGAGAGAAAAACAGACACAAAAATATTAGTGGACTTCGGGAAAAAAAGGTTTTGAATAAGAAATTGATAGAGCACATTTCTACAGTTATACGATGAGATGGAGTTAAAATAACCCAGCAAGAAAGGCATAAAACTAGAAACAAAAGGTAACATAAGATGAAAAATAATAGAAATTCACCAAAACATTAAGCTCCCTTTGTTAGACCTAGAATTGTTACCCTGTTTGGTATTTTTATGCTGTTTTTGGGTCAAAAACAATGTTTGGAGAAGACTTGCTTTGCTTTGAAAGCAAAAGCACAAGACTGTTTAAAGAAAGGTCTTGGAAAACAGAAGAGGCATCGTCCTTGTGAAATAAAAACAAGGCATTCAGCTTAAATTGGATTTGGCTTTACAAGAGGACTGTTTGCAATCACAAGTAATGCAAAATGAAGAACACCATGATGTGAAGAAATATATGATAATCCAGCAAACATGAATAGAGTTTGGAAGAAGTTGATACCTGATGAGGGTCCAGCAAATGATCTCTGCGACTGAAAAAGCTTCTGCTGATCAGCTATACTCCTCTGCTGATGGAAGGAAGCTGATGTTTGAGGTCTCGGTTGGATCCCTTCTTGCAACAAGCCACTTTGTTTTTGAGAACCCAGAATCTGATGCAACTGAGCAGGCTGTGTGATTTTCTGAACTTTTTGTTCAGAAGCTGTAACCCCTGGTTGTTGAATCACGCTGCTTGAACTCTGATGCGATTGGGCATTGAAGATAAACGGTTGTGATCCAGCCATTTTTTGCTGAAGCTGCATTCCAGAGACATCTCTTTGTTGGCCCAGGGGCTGCTGGATTGACGATAAAATGTTTTGTTGGGGCACTGACCACTTCGGCTGCTCTGAAGCATCATGTTGCTGCCTGAGTTGCTGATTCTGTTGAAACATTGAGCTATTTGATGGCTGTGCAATTGGTGATTGACGATATTGCGTTGTTACTGATGGTAGCTGAGAAAATGGATTCTGAGTAGTTTGTGACGTAACATGGTGCTGCCGCCGATGAGGTTGGCGGTTAAGAATGTCAGGTTGGTTGACAAAACTCTTACTAGTATTCTGAACCTCCTGCTTTTGAAATTGAGACATTAGCTTCTGATCTGAAGACTGGCTCACTGGCATTTCCTTCTGAAAACTAGGGGAAATATTTGGTTGCATATTTTGTTCAACCAAATTATTACCGACCAAATGTTGGGAAAATTGTGCCATAGCATTTTTCTCCGAGCTTTGATCAGCATCATTTGCAATCAAGGTCTGACCTAGACCTGTGACAGAAGAGAATAGGTTCAATTAATAGTTATGGTTCCTTCACTCATGTTCTTATAATTGCTCTGATTATATACTGAAAACTAGTGCCTAAAAATTTCTATAGCTTCTGAAAAAAAAAAAAAAAAGAACAGTGCACTTCTGCAGCAATTCTGTGCATATTTGGCTTTCAAGATCTTTTAAGCCGCTTGTAATTCGCATAGCTTTCGACATTGTACTGGGGTTTTAGTCTGCCGATGGATATACATAACATCTTACCTGATGAATTTGTACCTGTTGTCTTGGAAGCTTCAGACTTAATGGAAGCAAATGAACCCATCTTCTTACCTATTGAATACATATAGCTCTCCTGAGCAACAAAGAAAAGAAATCATATTGAATAAATAATAGGAAAGTCGATGAAAAAAAAAAGGAAATGGGAAGAAGTAAATAACAGCATAGTAGCTAATTCCAGCATCTATGAAATCATAAGCATCTTAAGTAATTTCAATAGTCAGGTTAAAGAACTCAAGGGAGATCAGTATCTTGTTAGATAAGAAGCTCCGAAAAGTTTCGATAAGTCAGAATGCATATCATGGTTAAATTATCTTGGAAACAATTTACAAAGAAAAAAATTGATGATACTGATAGAAACTGAAACTTGATATAAATAAAAGATGAAATAAACATACTAAATTCTCTTTAATGGTTGCCAGATAAGAAGTTTTTGGATAACAGACAGCAGAAAAATAAACCAAATATATCTGTCACCAAATCATGGTTGCTAGGGAAAGAGATCTGCCAAAAGTTAGCAGCATACTTCCAAGATCACAGTCCAAAAACTGATTAGTAATCAACATTTTGCACACAAAAGATTGGTGAAGTGACATTGGAAAGTTGATTGATCTGAGCACCTTTGATGCTGAATTTCTAAAAATCTTGTCCTCAAATTGCGCAGCAATGTTAGTCAGTCGCTCTAGAAACTCAGCATCATAAGAAGGCTGCTGGACCTGGTCATGGTTGCTCAAGTTTTCCACACTGTCATATCATAGCAAAAAACACAAACTCAATAAAAGGTTCCCTTTTGACATGATACTAAATTAAAACTAAGACAACATAAACTCGTAACAAGGAATTAGCAATTCAAGCATAAAATAGATCAACAAACATTGGTAATTTATGTCAAACAAAGACAAAAATTGCAAAGAAAAAATAATTCTGAGGCTTTTTCCACAATGCTTTCAGTTTAAACCAAATACATTGGTCTTAAAATACCTTTCCCTAACAGATTTCAAGATTTATGTCGAATTTCCATGATAATGTTGATGAATCAACTGATAATGACATACCAATGCTTACACATTAATGTTTAATTTTCGGCGAACGATTGACCAAATGTTGAAGCATGTAGTCAATCATTGACCATAATGTTTCATTCACGTCGTCTGTTACGACCGGATGTTTCGACATCTGATCATGTCCACCAACGGATGTACGATCGGTATCAACTAGTAACCAAACAACCAAACAATCAAACAAGACTTGTAACTTGAGTTACATACCAACACACTGAATAAAAAAATTTTCCAAACATATAACTTGAGATACTCACACGCTCGAATAGTAACAAATGAACCAAACAGCTAGTCAATCATTGACGATGGATGTTTTCATTTACACTGTCTATCATGACCGGATGCTTCGACATCTGATCATGGCCATGAGCGAATGTTTGACCGGTGTCAAGGAACCAATCAACCAAACAAGACTTATAACTTGAGGTCTGTACTGACACTCAATAAAACATTTTCCAAACCTATGACTTGAGATACTGACTCTCAACTAGTAACCAATCAACCAAACAGCTTTTCCATCTCACTTCTAATCATACCAATCCCAAAAATACTCATACAAAATCGGCCTCCAGATGGAAAACAACAAGACATCAAAACAAGAATTACCCTTTTCATATAATCTAACAAAAATAAAAAAATAAAAGAAAAATCTTAATCAATAATTTTTTAAAAAAAAACAAAAAAAAACATACATTTTCTTGACAACTTTCTTTCTAACTTCAGGAGTCAATTCTGCTCTCCAATCCTGGCTTCGACTCGTCATCTCTTCAACGTTTAAACCCTTAAAACTTTTGTCGTCCATCATGCAAACCCCACTAAAAGAACTTGAAAAAATAAAAAACACACCAAAACACAAATATACTTTAGATCATAACAGATTCAAAATAAAAATAAAAAACAACCAAACAACTAGTCTATACAGCAGAAAAATACAGAAAAGCCCTTACGGTGAGGGGTTTTGAAAAGAAACAAAAGATGGTACAGTGCTGTACCCTTTGTTTCTTTGAAGCTGAAGACGAGTAAGATTGAGAGGCTTTGTTTAAGTAGATAGATTTGGTTTTGATTGGATATGTTTTTTTATTTTTATTTTTTTGGATTTTGGAGGAGACAAGGAGATACTGATATAGAGACTGTTTCGTCAAGGAAATCTGTGAGAATTTGGGATTCCTTACGTGAAGACTGAGAGACTGTGTAGTTTTTATGAGAGGAAGCTCGCTGCTTACACGTTGTCGGGCGTGCACGTAATGCGACCACGAATAGGGTTGGTGCCACTCGAAACTGATTCTCAGTAAAAGGAGTAGGCAAAAGGTAAAAGCCCAATGAATTTGTCTTGGGCTATACACCGAGGATATATAGGTAAGCTTATTTTACTGAATCTTCACCTGACTATTTTTAAGATTTGAATCTAAGATTTTTAAGTAAAAATTTTGAGTAACTGACTATTGAGGTTTTCTCTTCGAGAAATTTTTTTTTTTTTTAAGGTTATGGTAAATATACTCGAGAGTTTAATTTAAAGGTATATAAGGATAAGATTCGCTTTATCAATCCGATTAATGACAAGCTATTCGTAATTGTCGAACTAAAAAATTGATTAGTAAGTATCTTTTGTATTGGAAGGCTTGGAGGATAAATTTATTTGGTATGTATGTTATTTAATTTTTCTTGTTATATATATATATATATTATGTGGATTCTAAATGTTATAATGGAAATAGCTAGTTTCAATGTAGGTTTTTTATTTGATGCGTTTTGAATTTGAGTTGTTTGGTTGTGTTCTTAAAAATTATTATATCTCATGGTCATGGATGTCATTGTTTTTTATGTTTTAAATATAATTATTGGATATTGTTATTTATTCTTTAGACTTTTTTTATAAAAAAATTACAAAGAAAAAAAAAAAAAAAACAAGAAGAGCCACAAAGTGCATTATTTATCTTGGAAAGATTATCAATTTTAACAACCTTTAAATTAGTAACCAAATATTTTTGATTTTTTGTTTAGTCTGTAATACGACAAGAACAACAAATGAATATATTATTACATGAAATAAAAAGACAAGCAGAGATTGAATCAAACCAATTTCTTAATTGTGTTTTTGAACATTTTTCAATATTTTGACTTTTCAAACAAGTTTAAAAAAAAATGCAATATGACATGAGTACTCATGCTAGCTTGTCTACAAAGTGTTGTTATTAACTCAATCGATAATTGTTTGAGGAGAAGGAATGCAAATAATTGTTGTTGATCATATGAATTAGATACCATCTTCAATTGGTATATGGAACACAACAAGTGCTTACCTATTTTGTGATAATATATGATTAGTATACCACTTATTACACTCGTTTATTTGATTCATGGTTGATGTGTTATCGATATAGAAAGTGTTTTATGTAATTTTAATGATATGCATTTCAATAAAGCATAAAAATTATGTGAAGATGAGGAAAATTACAAGATAACTTGATTATAATTCTATTAAAGTGAGATCCCATGCATGAAGATAATTCAGAGATCATCTTATTGCAACAAGATATTATGACATGAGCCAAGTTTTTCACATTATTTACTAACTAAATTAATAGGAAAACTCATATCAGCATGTCTTCAAAGTGTTTCTCTTAACTCAATAAATGTATTTATGTATGTGAAGTGTTTTTATATAAAATTAATGATATTTATTCCTATAAAGCATATAAATCAAGCGAAGATGAGGTAAAATAAAAAATAACTTAAATATAGTTTCATAAGAGCGATATCCCATAATTTGAAGATCTTCTTATTGTAATAGAAATTATGATGAATCAAGTTCTCCATATCATTTACTAACCAAATTAATGAGAAACTCATGTCAACATATCTTTAAACTATTGCTCTTAACTTAATCGATAGTTGTTTCTCGAGAAGAAATACAACTAATTGTTGTGGATAATATGATTATACCATCGTGATCATTTTCTCGTATTAAACACTACATATGCTTATATCTTTTGTATTAGTATATGGTTAGTTTACCAAGTGTAACGTTCTACTATATTTGATCTATTGTCGATGTGAACATTCCAATTCATCTAATAATTTTCTTCAACAAGTATGAGCAAATCTATAATAATACCATTAGCATCATATCCTAATTGGAGCGAGGCAAAAAAGACATATATATATATATATATATATATATATATATATATAACTTGCATATATGTGATGTTATGTAGGAACACGAGCAAGACTTTATAAAATAAAATAAAATAAAAAGAAAGAAAGAACAAACACTTACACTAAAGCCTTTTTTTTTTTTTTTTGTTCTTAAAGAAAAAAAAACACATTTCTTTCCTAGATTTTTTATGCTAAAATGAATGAAAAACTTTTTATATGATTAGTTGTGGTTTTGATTGGATCTTTTATTGTTTTGGAAGAGATAAAGAGAAATTAGTAAAGAATGGTTTAAATTAATAAGAAAACATATAAGAAATTAGAGTTCATTTTGTGAAAAATGAGAATTTAGATTTTGTGATTCTATTCTATAAATGTTGTCAAGTATTTGAATGTAGTAAAAGATCATTCGGATACTAGCATTAATTGGTGGAAGAATAGTGCTAATTAAATACTAACAACTTTATTTAAAATTCACAATTTTACTATAATTTCCTTACAAACTAATTTTACATCATAAACATCTTACGAGTGTAATTTTAAAATTTTAATAGACCATAGATAGCTGGAATTATTCAGCTTTAAAAATTATTCCATTTTTTTATCTTACCAACATAGACATTATAGTGAAATAAGATTCATATATATATATATATATATATATATATATAAACCAAATATCAAATTAATAAAAAATATATATCTTTAACCGTTGATAGCAAATGTATTTCAAATATATTAAGTCAAGTATTATTAATAACTTTGTTTTAAATTTCTTATCCTCATATTTGTTTTTTATTTTTCTTTTTTCTTTTTCATAATTACACCTTATAATTAGTTGTTATTTGGTTATTATCTACAATTTATATATATATATATATATATATATATATATATATATATATTTACCAAATAGTGAGGATACCCTAGTAATTCATTAAAATATGAAAAAAAAAATACAAGAGAGACCAAATCTAGCTTGACCTAAACAAAACTTTGTGTGTGTGTGTGTGTGTGTGTGTGTGTGTGTGTGTGTGTGTGTGTGTTTTGGGAGGGCGGGGGTACCGGGGCAAACCTTGAATAAAACTAAATTACTTCTTAAACTTATAGAGACCTATTCTATCATGTCTATAATTTATTTTAACGGACAGAGGTAACTCAAAATAATTATTAAAAATACAATAGTTTTCATGATGATACGCCTCATTTGTTAATCCGTCATCTACCATATTTTGTTCCCTCCAAACTTGGATATAGTGTAGTTACTCATTAAATTTTGTACACTCTAAAAAGATGAATATAGAACCATGGGACTAATAGACTCTTAAAATGGTATTGCCGACCATTAAGGAGTCCGATTCGACCAAAACCGAATCTAAATTAATTTAAGCTTTTCTTGGTATGGATTTTGTAAATTAATTTTTGTTTTGTTTTTTAAGTTTAGACTCAAATTAAAATCATAATTATGTTTGATCTAAAATAAATTTTGACATAAATCAAAATTTGTTCTAAAATTGAGTCAAAGTTTGCTTTAATAAAAAGTTAAAAATTTTAACTTATTAATTTTGACTTGTTTTACCACCTTATCTTTGATTATTACTATTACTATTATTATTATTATTTGCCAAACATAATTTTAACTTAACTCATTAATTTTTTTCATAAGTTATCTATGAAAAATAACTTTAGAATTATGATTCAAAATAAAAAAGTTATCTTTCATAAATCATTCCAAACAAACTCAAAAAAAAAAAAAAAAAGATTGTTTAAAAAACAATGTATGACAAATAAAATCACTTATTTTGGCTTTTTGATCCCATATTGCATAGTGTATCTCCAAAGATATGAAAGACCTTCCTCCAAGCCATACATATGAGAGTAAGCATTAGACAATCTCTAAGATCTTTTTTTGTTTAGAAAAAAAGAAAATAGATTCTCTATTTTTATACCACATATCATATTTTGACACCAAGAAATGAAGTGGTTTCTATATATATATATATATATATATATTGGAGGCCCATGAGCTTTTGGTCTACACAATAAAGAGAAGTTTTCTTTCGTTACATAATTTTCAAAGAAACTTAAAATTAGTAGAACTCGAATCTTGTTATATTAAAAATATTAATTAAATACATAATCGTTATACTAAACCTGTTTGCATGAGTTGAAAGTATTTTTTTTTTTTACTTAATTAATTGTTATAATAAGTTATATGGTAAATACTATGAAAAAATCTAGCCTAAAGGCAGATTTCATTCAATCACAAACCATTGCATTAAATTGCATAATACATCAAGTATTGCGTGTCCTGCTTGAAGCTAGCAGCAACAACAACAATATAACCAAAGGGCAATACAAAGTAAAAGAAACATAATTTAAAAAAAAGTGAAGAGAACATTTAAAGGTTGAGGGATAAGTCATGCCCGGTAGGGCGATCACGTTGCTGGTTCCAACCGGAAGCACCAGCTCCTGAAAGATCAACTCGACCTGCAGCAGTACCAATCCTAGTAGGAGCAAAATTCAGATTGGAAAGTGAAGGTCCCCCCTGGTTAGAAGCACCAACAGATGGGGGCCGGCGAAATAGCAAGCTGTCTAGAGTTGGATATGAATTACGTGCACTTGCATACCAGTGATTGTCACGCATGTAATTGGCCTGTGAGTTCATGTTAGCTTGCCTAGGCCATCCTTTACGGGCATTGTACGATCCAGATCCTGCATGGAAAGAGTTAAGATAATGATGATAAGATGGTTTCTGGATCATAGATTGCATCTTAATTCCCAAATAATTGTTGTTATTATAAGGATCAAGATGGCTAGAAAATCCAGCCATGCCTGCAGTTGCAGCTTGGAATGGATAAATGGTCCCCAAAGGGTTTGCTTGAGTGTCCTGTTCTTTTTTCATCTCAGCTCGCTCTTTTTTGTGTGCATTTTGGTGCCCACCTAATGCTTGCGAGCTGGAGAATTTCCTATTGCAAAATTTGCATTGGTGTTGTTTCATCTCTGATGGCTTCTTTGCATCATTTGAGTCTTGTGAAGCCTTAGGAGACTCAGCACCAAACAGATCCAGAAGGTTGACTTCTTTTTGGATCCTTCACCAACCTCACCACTGTAAAGCCTAAGATCAAGCGAAGGATCTGATTCAGGCTCCATGGTGGGTTCCTCAAGAACCTTTCCTTTCATTTTTCTGTCCTCGACATCTCTAGTAGATGAACCCCTCTCTATAGACATTTTTTTTTTCTTTTTAGTATAATACTATTCCGGATATACTTTAAGCCCTCACAATGATAGAGTTGCAAGAAAAATACAACATTTATAGATAGAACAATGAATTCTCTTGTTTCATATATAGAAAGATATCTCAATTGAATTTACTTGAAATGGTAAGTTACTAAAGTAAAAGCAAGCTAATGAAGGTTTTTGAGAGTCCCCTAAGAGCATTAGTCAGCAATAATTCTCAAAATAAATCTACTTACAACTTTTTTTTATAAATCAACTTACAACTTAGATTATTGTTTATCCTTAAAAGTTTTGATATGTGTTAGAATTACTTTCCAAATATTTTTTTTTCGTTATCTCACCTGTCCAACTTGCCTACCCCCACAATAAATATTTTACCATGAAGAATTTGGTGTATACCCAACATGTTTTTGTACATGCTTCCTATGAATGTACATGAAAACGCTAAAGGCCAGTGAATCCAACTCAGATTCTCTCTTGATTATGGGATGAAAGATTTGAATTTTCTAGCAAATATGTTGAGATTTATATACTATTATTTTTTTATTCAATAATAAGGATAATTTCAAGGCAATTTGTACATTAATCGAGATCAACTCTTAAACAATTTTAAGGATATACTTCCTACATTGATGCACTTATAAGAATTTAAAAACAAAATCTAAATATTGGTGATCTTAAGATTTGAACCCAATTAAAAAAAAATACCTCTTTAATCACAAAATTAACACCTTGATGTAATACAACTCCATAAAAGAGAGAGATAAAAAAGGAAGAGAGAGAAAGTTAATTGAGATAAATATTTTCAAGCATATGAAGAAATATTTGAATAACTTTTAATAAGAATTATTTTTCTATCTCTCTTTAAAGTGAATATATGAAATAATAATTAGTAATTACTCTTAGAATAATATAAAATTTCTAAGCAATGGAGAGTATACACATGGGCTAGTAGCTATTCGAGTTAAGCAATGGAGAGTACTTCTATAAATTACAAATAAATAAACAAGGAAAAACTTGTAGAGATTGTCGCGACTTGACATTTAGGAAACTTTCAAAATTATTATACTTATTGAAAATTTGTTTATTGGGGAGGTGAGTTGTTATTGATTTCGAAGTCGCTACCTAGTATTAAAGGAACTAAAAAACTTAAAATAGATATTAATTCAAAGATTTTAGGATAAGGAGATATCTTGTCTAATCTAGTCCTAAAAATTTATCTTCTAAAAATTCTATTATTTGTCAAAATTAATCCTAAGTCAAATTTTAAAATTTTATTTCTTAAGCCAATTGAGTGTCATATTGAATTGATTGTTGGATACCAACGTTAGGAGTCTCGTCAATTGAATATCGGATTGACTTTAAGTCTCGACATAACCGATATGTCGAAAAACGACATAATTACTAAAGTTATTGATTTGAATTACTTAGCAAATTTGGTCTCCATCGGATATGAAACTCGTTAAATTTGCTTAAAACTCTTTCTTCTTCTTCTTTCTTTTTATTAATTAAACTAAAGGTGTTTTATTTTGAGGCATGTGAGAAAAATATTTTCAGAATTATTATTATTTATTTTATTTTTTTACGAAATCATATTAAATTAACGTCTATTCTCAAAATTTGAGAGTTTCATCAATTTAGCATCAAATCTAAATTAAAGCCTTAACACAATTGGCATGTCAAGGAGCGACGTAATTAACTAAAATACTAAAATTGTTTACATAGAATGCTAAATGAAATTGACATTACTAGACTATTTATTATTTATTAACATTTTTTATTGTTGGGTAAAATATACATCAAAGCCAATCATTGATCCATAATAAATAAAAAACTTGTTGGTCCGATATCACGACCAAATTAAATGCATATATTTAAATAAATTTCACAATTTAAGTATTTTTATATTTACTAATAGAAATAAAATTAACATTATTATAAAACCACATCATGAAATAATTTTAAAAAATAGTGAGGAAAAAAAAAAGCAGAAATGGTCATTAGAAAATTGAACAAAATTAACCCTTGGATTGCTCCTTGGCCTACCTCTGTGCCTTAGGCTTTTTGGATTTACCTGGACTCCACTTAGATCTTAAAGGCCCACTCTTTGATAGCCCACTTTTTCTTTCTTCACCATCAAAGGAATGGGCTCAGAAGGAAACCCACCAAGAATCACACTAAAATGCTCTGGAAGCTGAGCAGTAAAACCAATATTTGAGCTAAGCCCAATCTGTGCTTGTCCATTAACAAGCAAAAGAGGAGAAATTGGAGAAAATCGATTAGGCTTGGTTTTAGGAGGCTTTGCTCACCCTTCCCCTGAGGTTCCTCTACACTAGAGTACCTGAGTTTGGAACAGCAGCTTCACCAATAGCAAGAACTGCTGATGCGAACATTATCAAGGTCAGTTCTGGAACAGGAGAAAAGGAAAAACTACCCTGAAGGTTAGCTTGGTTTTCTTCAACACCACTGATGACTGCAACAATTACAATCAACTGGGAGGAGAAACTAACTGCCCAGTGCACAAAAATGAACCTCTTTTTCTTTCACGTAAGGAGTAACCTGAAGCTGGAATCAGGGAAAAAAAAAAAAAACAAAAACAAAAGAAGAGGACACTTGGGTTTTGAGCTAGTGATTGAGAGGTTCAATGTGTCTGTTGGGGTGCTAGATTGACGAGTTGTAGTTGTTGTTTCGGGTTTGTGAGAGTTTCAGCGAGATTGGTGTTGAGCTGCATTTCGGATGGTGTTTCAGGTGGGTTGTGGTTTCTGGCAGTTTGGTGCAGAGACGAAGAATAGGCGTTTGGATGGTGATTGATTGTGGTTTCTGTTTGGTTTAAAAGAATGAAACCAGAATGATAACCAAATATGAGAATGAAAATAAAAATTAAATATAGTTTCATTTTAACTAAAAAATGAGAATAAAAACAAAAAATAAGAATTAATTTATTTTTTAAAAATAATGATATATTTTTTTATTTATTATATATCAATTATTTTAACCACTACAACTATCACCTCCATTGACAAGTGATAATAAAAAAAAATTATTTATTATAAAATAAATAAAAATAATAGGAGAATTGAAAAAAATAATAATAAGAAAATGAAATCACTATAGTGTGAATACAAATGATAAGAACTTCAAAGTTTCTCTTATTCTCTCTAGAAAACTTATACACCAATTAATAAACAATCAAACTTATTTATAAGCTTCAAAATTGAGAAGAGAATTGAAAGGAAACATGAATAATTAAAAGTGCATCAATTGTATCGCCTTTTCAATTTCTCATATTGAATAATGAATTGAATCACATTAAGAATCATGAGTAGTGGAGATATTAAAAGTAAATGAACATTCATATAGATATTCATTATTTCATAACACTCCTCCTTAAATGTCCATTATATAAGAAACACGTCTCATTAAAACCTCACCAGGAAAAAACCCAATGGAAAAAAAATTCTAGTGAAGAAGAAAGAGTATAGCATTCCTTGTACACATTAATTCCCATATTGATCTCCCTCTATTGAAAACATTATTTAAGATCTCTAAGACGATGTATTCCAATCTTGTTAATCATTTTTTTCAAAATTTATGGTAAGTAATGCCTTAATAAACAAATCTGCTAGATTGTCACTTGATCGAATTTGTTGAACATTAATATCACCATTTCGTTGAAGATCATGTGTGAAAAATAATTTTGATGACATATGATTCATTATATCACCTTTGATGTTTCCTTATTTTAATTGAGTTATGCAAGCAGTATTATCTTCAAACAAGATTGTTGGAACTTCCTTGCTAGTGGATAAATCGTATGTCTCTCGATTGGTCATCTTAACCAAATACATTATCGACTTACCTCATGAATTGCTAGTTTTTCTACATAGTTTGAAGATGTGACAGACTATAGTTTGCTTCATGGAATACCAAGATATGATTGCATCTCCATATGTAAATATATAACCAATTGTGATCGAACTCGTATGGATCGGATAAATAACCTACATCTACATAACCAATTAATCTTGTCTTTAATTTATTGAAGTAATATAAAATCATATCAATTATTCATTGAAGATAATGTAGTATATATTTAACTTTATTTCAATGTCTCCATATTGAAACAAAACTATGACTTGCTAATAAATTTATAGAAAAGACTACATCGAGTCAATTATTATTAGCAAGATATATCAATTCACCAGATGGCACTAAGATATGGTACTTCGGAACCAAGTAGTTCTTCGTTATCTTCTCGAGGTCGAAAAGGATCTTTTTGGATATCAAATGAATGAACTCCCACTAGGCTAGTCAATGAATGATCTTTCTATAGAATCATTGTAGAACCTTTTTCTATACAAAATGACCGATGAACAAAAATCTCATTCTCTAAGTGTCCGAACCGTAGGTCGAGATAACATTTTGTTTTCCTAAAGTATTCATATCAAATTCTCTTTTTAGATAACTTATGATACTTGGAATATCTTCGGGAGTTCCAATAATATTTAAGTCATCAAAATATACAACAAACCCCTTTTCAAATAAAAATATATGAACATATAAGGTTTTATATATATATATATATATAACTTTCTTTCAATAAACAATCATTGAAGTGATTATATCACATGCATATGGGTTAGTAATAAACGAGTAGATATAAAAAATAAAAAATATAATATAAATTGAATTTCTAAAAAATAAAATAATAAAATAAATACTAAAATAATCCTAATAGAGATCTATATAATTTAATTGAATTCTTTTTTGGAGAATATGTATTACACACTTCTAGCATGTTAAGTCCTCTAGGACGTTCATACCGATATTATTTTAAATGAACAAATAAGTTATGATCACATTCATTAAATGCATGCATATGAATGTTTTTCATATATTTTGCCAAGCTAATGAGATAACAAAATATAATTGCTTCAATTATAGGAGAATATGTTTTCTCACAATCAATGTCAGTTCTTCACAAACACTCT